AAATTTAGACACTTTGTGAATTTGTTTTCGATAGACTTGACTGTCTGAGATATTTTTTCTCATTTCTGATTGAACATTTTCGATGGCATAACTCCGTTTGAACCGAGATGATAATATTAGCGAATCTAGCTTGCGTATCATTCAATCATTTTCACAACGAGCCACAACAGAAAAATACAGAAAACATCGACGATACTGGACGGACTATACACTCCCACATTACGAGGCTGATAAACGAGATACTTAGTGATTTAAAATTGTAACGTAATTTTTTTTTAAATGCTATATTAATTTGTTTACTCGCTAAAATGCTACAATTATTTACATGATAAACAAGAGTACACAGATATGTTACGCAGATATCGCCGTAAAGGAATTGACTTGAAGCACGTTGCTATTATTAAATATTCTATTAATATTAAGGAATTAGGCTTAAGTTTCCAGCCGGGAGAGCTAAAAAAATGTATGATCTAATCGTTTGTTTATTTAATTCAGTCACTCCCTTTCCGCAAAGTCTTCTGCAGAGATAACGCAAGAATTAGGAGTCTAATGTATTTTTTTTACACGAATACTGCTACTTTATGATATAATAATAGTATTCTCCTTTGCTTAACTACTGAAGAGGGCAGAGGCCCGTATATTTACATGACTTATTTGGGGCCGCAATTAAATTCGTTTCTGAATATTATTTATTCAGCAAGAAAAAATTGCATCTATTATGAGATTAAACGAAAGTTAAAATCGTATACCTGACTCTTTGACGTTGAGAGAAATGCAAGACTGAGGTCTGAGATATTTAAGATTAAGTGTATCAGAAAATATTATGCAAAACATTACTTTCTTTAACGAAGAAATGTATATATGTATAAGTATCGCATATTAAAAAATAAATACGGTAAGAATATAAAAATACTTCGGAGTGCGTGCAATTGCTCGGAAACAAAATATCTTAATCTCGAGGGAGTTCAAGCATTTGGAGGTTATGAACAAATTGCGTCGCTGTCGACATCGATTATGATTAATAAAGTTTTTTCTCCATCTATATATTACAAGTAGAAATTATAGTTTAAAGAGAGAGGGGCAACGAATCATTAAGTCAATAACTGATGTCACCCGACTCAAAATGCCGATTTCGTGCAAACCGATGTATCAGTCTATATCACAGAAACGGAACTTTCCATTTCGCTTGCAGTCTTTTTCTCCTCGCCGTCGTTGCCATCGTCGTGATCGTCGCCATCGCGGCGATTGCGGTCGCCGACCTGTTCATCAGGGACTAGAGGCGTATCCTTCGATAAGATTAAGGAGTCCTCGCCGATAGGTGCAGCGGCTTCGACTAGATTTTCGACGGACGCCGCCATCGTCGGTGCCTCATGGCAGAAGCTCCTACGTAAGGAATGCTGTGTCCTCGTGGTGCCCCTGCGTATACTGCTACGAAGTAGATTCGCCACGTCGGCGGCCGTTAAGTTCGAACCGGACAGGGTGTTCGTGGTAGCGTTCGTACATCGGCGACCGTGGTCGATCGTCGAGTGAGTGCGTTCGATTGTGCGCGATCTGCTTGCGATGCCGATCTTGCTGGCGCGGTCGATAGTGTTCGGCCGATGACGACGTTCGACCGCCGACACGATGCCATGCCGACTATCACCAGTATTCGTCACGTCCGGCCGCGGCTCCGACAACACGTGGATCGCAACGTGATCATGCGACATCTGTGCGCCGCTCTGGTTCATCTCCACCAGAACGGTCGCATAATCAGGAGGCGGTGGCTGCAACGCCGGTCTCTGTCGCGGCGCGCTGCTCTCCCCCAACACGTTCGCGATCCTCCGCACGCTTCGTCGGAAGCTTTGCCGCAGCATCTTCGCGATCCGTGCTCCGGTCGCCGTAGTATAGCTAGGCGGAGGTGTGTACTTCGGCGGCGGATCCTCGAAAGGTATCTCCGTGGTCGCGGTGGGTAAAATGCCATTTCCGTGCAAGCTGGTGCTGGTGTCGTTTCCAATTTGAGTCTGAGCATCGCGAGGCTCTTCTGGATCCATCGGCCGACAAAGCAATTGAATTCTCTGCAAAGATCAAACAGATTGTTTCAACGACGACTGTTGAAGACGAACACGGTACACTTTATTCAATGTGTTTTTATATATTTATATATTTTATAAATTTTTTATATATTTTATATATTTTTATTTTTTTTTATATATTTTATCTACAACTTTATGTATAATTGTACAATGACTTATTAAACTAATTCCAATAAACATCGAAAACAGTAACATAATGTTATAATTTTCTATTCAATACAATGAACTGTTATATGTTCTATTAAATTTATATTGTTGAGTGGGAAATTATAATGTTGATGTAATGTTATACTATACTATTACTTTTTATTTACGGGATATTATTAATACATATCGCAAAGTAATGCCGCTGCGACACGTACAACATTAACACAGAAAGAAATTAGTGAGAACTTACGCCGTTACATTGTTCACAATGATTTATTGTTACTGCCACCTGTTCGCTCTATTGTCAGCAAGAACAGAAAGAGATAGTAATAGATATGTTAGTCATTAATTAGTGTACGCTAATACTGCTAATAGCATACAGACACAGGAGGGAGTGTCAGGTAATAACCGTATCATACTCTGCAAGCAGGAATACTTACATCGAATATATCGGGTGGTCCGTTATTCAAGTACCGACACGCCTGTATGGCAGACACTACCGGTATTATGAGTATCGGTGTCAGTTGAATCGCCGTTCCAAGTTGCCTTGCCCATACAACCCAGTAATCTTTGCTCGTGCGACGATAAGAATACAATTCCCAGAAGTCACCGCTCTTGAATACTATAATACTCAGAGCCTACGGAATACAATAACGATGACACGCACCGTGCTTGACTGCGACTCAATAGCTTCGTCGTGTCTAACAAGAACTGACTTACCACCAAAGTAAGGGGGAGAACAACAGTCCATGTGAAGGAGAGGAGAGGGGCGGCCCAGTACTTGAGATATCGTCCACTTGGTGGGAATAACTCGGCGACGACTGCTTCGCCGGAGTGTGGTCGCCCACGGATCGCGAATAGAGCGACGATTTGTATTAGATACAAAAATATTATCCACCATGCCCCGCCGACGGTATAATCGAGATAGTACACAACATAAATACCCAACTGCAAACACACACAATGACAATATATAATGAAGATAATTTAGAGTAATACATTTATACAATAATAATTTAGTAGTAATACATTTATTAGAATTATTATGAAAATATACATATAAAAATAAAAGTATTTTTTTTTTTTAGTTTTAATGGTTAAGATGGTAATTGGATAATTTCTATTGTTTTAGTAATAGTAAATATAATAAATATACATAATATTCTTATTAACGTGATTACCGTTTATTATCATCATCAATTTTGTCATTACTATCATTAAAACTATTACAGTTTATTAAGCTACACTAATGATATTGTCGAAGCACTCGTCTTTATATCCTTCACTTGTATATCCAAAAATATAACGTTATTTTTAGTATAACCGGAATATCTGCTCAATATAGTATGGGGAATAAACATATACAGTCCAGATTCCTTATCAGGATCCGAGACATCTTTATCTCGGCCCACGGTCTTCACCATTTTTCTAACATCGTTTGCAGGATTATCTTGGTCTCGTAGATTTACGACAGCTCTAAGAATGCAGGGCCAATCCAGTAAGGGATCCCATTTTCCATTTTCTACGCGCAAACATCCGATAATGTGACGATCCTTCCACTGTCCTCTACCGTTCAAAAACAATTCCATTCTCAGAGTGTAACCATATTCCTTGTTGTGAAATATCGGACTATAGAGCGCGCGATCGCTTTCCTTTGCCTCGCTCATCTTTTCTTTGTAACGATCGATTCGCCATATAATATGGCCATTCGTTGAAGCACTCTCCACACCTTCGCAGGAACATGAACTCAACGATGGTTCCGGTCTACAGTTCTCTGCTATTAGTTCCTCGATATATTTTAAATTTTCCTTCATTTGAAACTTTAAACCTTTTATCTCCAATTTCCGTTTGGCCACGCTCTCAGCGTGCTTACAGATTTCTTCCGATAAGCTATTCACCCTTTCTGTTAAAGTATCATGTTTGGATATTACTTCCTTCATATTCTTACATCTCATTTCCAATTCCAATTTCAAATCATTGATACGTTGCGAATGTTCCTGCCACATATCGCTCGCATGAACGCTCTCCTTAGCGACGAATGTTTTCACGTCTTTCAATTCCTGGAACCAATCGTTTGGCGTGCACACGTGTTTGCCTTGCTCGTCAGTCAATTCTCCCTCCAGTAATTTTAGCTGCTCAGAGATTTGTCGTAAATTCAAGGTAGTGCAATGCTGTATATCGTCAGTGATCATCTCCAGAGTATTTAACCTCCGATTCAATGCTGTGTGGTTATTGCGAAATTCTTTGACCGCTTCCTCGATATTCAATTGCAATGCGGCGAAAGATTCCTGTTGAGAATGCAGTAGACTTAAATTTCTAGAGAGATCATCCTGCAAACGAATCCGCTCTTTTTCCCCCTGGTCGATAGCTAAACGCAACAACGTCAGTACCGAGAATACTTTTTCTTTCCACACCGAATCTTGGATATCCTTTATTTGACTGTTTCTCATCGATGTTCCCTTGTTGCATATTTTCTCGTGTACTTCCAGGTTCCTGCGAGGAACGTAAACTCCACATTTGTTCGGACATTCCTCCAAGACCGCCGCGCAATGTGTTATATGCTCCGTTAAATATTTCTCTTCCAAAAATTCATTACAAAAATAGCAAGGCACACTGCGACGCACTACCGAATGAACGTTATTACTCATCTTCCGTTTTAATACGGACGCACTATACGATACTAATATGCTTCACTTGCAATACTAATGTGCCGGAGCGAACTAAAATGAAGTGCTGATAACAATTCTCTGGAATGAAAGATTGTACGCTCTATCTGATAAGAACTGGGAACCTTATCCAAAGACAGAGATAATATTATAGATATACCCAAGTTACATAGCTGAATCACGCACGTAACATGTTAACATACTGCGTAAATAAAAATGTGATATCTTCATGTGACTCATATACGTTTAATTAATAACGGAAATATTTGCATGTGTCGAGTACAATCACGTTTTCTGCTAAATAATAGTAAGGTAATAAATTTATCAAACATCTGTTATCATCATTGAATTTAACAAATTCCAACATACCTCCGTAGCCATAGGTAATCCGAGTATGTAACCACAAGCGCAGCTAAAAAACGTGATCGTGGTCTCCCAGAGCTTCATCATTTTCGTATTGATCGCCATTATACCAGTTATTACACAATGCCAGATCGCCAGCTAAAATATTGACAAAACTTTTTAAGTATAGTTTCTTGATTATATATTTTCCACTAAGGTGACGATTATATTTTTTAATCGTATAGTTATAGAATCTTATTTAAAGTATCTCTTACATCGAGTATACGAGGAAACTTATGTACCTGTTGTGCGATTCCAAATAAAATGAGAATGAAATAAAACAGGACTGCCCAGAACGGCGACACCTGTTCAGTGCCTAACAATGCCAGTGTCGAAGGCACCAATTCAGTGGCTAACCGTAACACCTGGTATCCGGACTCGGTACTTGTGTCGACGCCAGGTCGTATTACGCGTTGTCCAAGAAGAAACGATGCGTGAGACATGAATCTCTCTGGCGTGATACTATATCCTGGTGGTGCTGGATCATTGACAAGCCTCATAAACGTATACCCTGATATTCTCTCTGTGAAATCATCCGAGAATTATAACTTGTGCAAATGCATCCCGTGCAATATTTCCGATTACTCGAGGTAATACAAAACGGCTGTTTACCGAAAGAACTAGTAGTGTAGATGTAGCCGTGAAGCCTGAGGATTTGTACGCAGGTATTCGCGAGGAAAGCCGCGAGAAAGAGGACCACAAACGTCAAGATTACCACGAGACTTATATCGCGCTGTAGGAAATGCTTGTGCTTGTTATGAGCCGCTATCTGAAATTGGTAGTAATCCAATGTATTCCAATGAGCAACTACCGATTGTTTAAGTTACGGCAAATCAAAGAATAATCATAGGAGAAAGTAAGTGCTCGTTAAATAATCATCATAAGATTGTAAGCGACGATACCTGCATAGCGGCCGCACCGAGTAAACCCCATGTGAGGAAGACCTCGTTCGAGGCAGCCACCCATGACTTCCCATTAATAAAGAATTCGCTCCAAACAGTGGCAGGGAAAAGTTGGTTGAACGAGCCCGGCGGAATAAGTCCGATCAGTTTCGCGCAAAGGACTAACGTGCCAAACACGGGCGCTAGTGTGAAAACGTATACAACTTTTCCGTAAGATCTCAGTCCTAAATTAAAATAGAAATGATCAAAATTAAATCTTTTGCGATGCATTGAACCAAGATGATGATTTAAAGTCATGTGAAATACAATAGTAATAGCGATAAAATTTTCCCTCTCTACGCATACAAAAATTAACGTTTTCCAATTCTTTAATTAGATCTTTCAATATTCCTTTTTTTTTATTTTATAAAAATCAATACGTTAAAAAAGAATGTCACAAAAGCTAGCGAAAGAAACTAGTATAAAAAAATTTTCATGTTCCTTTTTTTTAAAAAAGAAAATTCACCTTTACTCAGTGAAACAAACACAATCATCCACACAACGGCTAAATTGAAGGCCACTTGGAACTTCAATGTGACGACACCAGGATTAGAATCAATCAAATGATGTCTTTGCAATACAGCACCGCTGAAATAATCCGGAACAGTCTCGTGTAATTTGTACGAAGCGGTGATGTTGTGTGTGAAACGGTTGTCCTCTCGATAGAGAAGAAATGGCTCCGCCCATCGATATTTGTCCTGCTTCGTTATGAATGAATCTCTGCAATCAATGTATCACGCATTTTGTCCTACTTGATCAACATGGCATGGCATTTTGATATTGCATCCACTGACGGAGGAGCCCAGAGACTCCAAAGAGTTATTGAGATCATCGCGTTGAGAGCATAAATGTATATTAATTTCACATTGTTTCTAGAACGTGTCTCTAGGGTTTGTGAGTTTCATTATTTCTTCTTGACCTACTAAACTTGAAATATGCAAATTCAAATACAAATATGTTCGTTAAATTTCATCAAAACTTAAAATGATATCGATCAAACTTCAATTAACTTAATCAAAAGTAATATTTTCACTATTTTATCAACATAAACAGAATTACGCATTAAAATTAATATATATAAACACGAATAAATAGAGTAGATAAAGTAAATAGTGTAGATAGTTTTTCTGAACTTGACGTATATGATTATTCAAACTGTTCATAAATCTCATATAAATAACAAATTACGAATCGCACATAGTTTGGCATTAATTTAATTCTTCTTGTGAAATCATATTTTTATTCTCTCCATTTGCAATCTGGATTTTTCTTGTCCAGTCCCAAATTTTGATTCTTCTACTCTCTAAAACTTTTAAAGTGACTCTGAAGAGTAAAATCTCTTTTAAAGACTGAAAATTGAGTCTCTCTCTTTTTTCAAAACTGACTCAATTTTCATATTTTAGAGTGAGATTCCACTCCAAAAAAAAAATTTAGAGAGTAGACTTCCAAAATATGTAGAAAAATTTAGAATTACTCTTCACGTCATTTTGTTTGAATATGTAAAAGATACCCAGATTACAAATGGAAGGTAAAGAGATATGTTTCAGATGTATTTTCACATCAAGAATTTACCTGAAGAACACAAACATCCACGATACACCGACTATACTGTAGATACCGATAAATGCCTGCGCGACGAGCAGAGCTATCCCGACGCCTTGACAAATCGGAGATATACTCCACATATCCACGGAACCGGCTGCCAATCTTTGTCCAAGACATACTTGTAGTGTTAACAACGGGATGCCTAGTATGAGGGATAAGATCAGGAACTGTATCATGAAGTTTGCTGTAAAAAGAGAAATAGATAAGAATAAATTAATAAAATAAATTAAATTAATAAGTAGTATATGTGGCTTTAATGATAAATCCAGTACAAATAAAATTAAAATAGCATCGGCAAATGGAAAGATAAAGAAGAATCCTTCGTGAGAGACGAAGGAAAACGTCTTACTATTGAGAAATGTTGGACGTGGGTATCCGACCGTTTCTTCAATAAATCGGTCATTATTCTCGCAAATAACCGTGGAACTAATTATTGACATTACGAAAGGCATGCTGCGATATGAATTAATATTAATGGCGCGGCAATTTTGTCGGTTCTTTTGCTTTCGGAAGGTCTTATTTCGTTGGCGCCGCATACGTCATGAGAACTCTACAATTTCACTGAGAGCCGTAATAAATTCGATTGCCAGTATTGCGTATAAATTTCGCCAGTCATGAGTAAATACGGAGATAGCATTTTTTGCATGCTAAGAATATCGAAATCTGATTATGTCGAAACGAGACCGGTCTCAGTTTCTCCTTGAAATCGTCCCGTGAAAAAATCATGCGCATCAAAAGTCTTCTCATCCCGCGCGTACGACCATCTTACGTCGCGAGAAAAGAAATCCGGTGGAATTTTTTAACGAAATCCTTCGAGATTGCAGGAATGTTGTCACAACGTGTTATACTATTTTATGTCAGAGCCTTGTATTCAACATGTAGCCATCCATAGTAAGTAACAAAAAAAGAACATACTCCCTAAATTCTTTGGAGTGAAATCTCACTCAAAAGAATGAAAATTGAGCCAGTCTTGAAAAAGAATGACTCAATTTTGAATCTTTAAGAATAAGATGTCACTCCTCAGAGTGACAATTCACTCTAAAAGTTGTAAAGAATATAGGTGCTTTCTATTTCTTACGTTATGTCTTACGGATGGCTATGTTAAAGTAAAGACTCTAACATGAGATAGCATAAGGCAAGTTGCGGTGGCCCTGATGCCAGTTTGCGGCATCTTTGTGGCTAACGCACGTTATGACGCTCACCTCCAAATTGTATGCTAAGAATAGCGAATCTGCTGATGTTAAAGAGTCCCAGAGTGCAGCCGAGACACGCGAAGGTCGAACTGAGGGCGTGAGGCCATTTTCCCAGAGGATTCTCGTCCTCATCATCGTCTTCGTTCCTGTCGTTATGCCTGTTGGCATCTCTCTGTCTCTCGCATATCCTGGAACTGATACACAAAAATGTATTATTAAAAGTAATTAATTAAAAGTACTTCTGTATCAATATATTTATCTCTGATAAAAAAAACTAGAGACTGTCAACTATACAAAAAATTGTCTTAATTTATTTTAAAACAGTATGTAACGTAATTTCATATTTAAAAGACGAAAATGTGCAATCAAATCTTTAATTGACGTAGCAAATTTCATTTAAACTTTGTAAAATTAGCAGATTATAAAGATTGCGAGATACTTTATCGTATACATCTTCATTTTTGATCATAGTTTACAAGCTGATGCTGAAGATTTCTGAGATCATGTTAGTTCGTAGTGAAACTAGGTCGAGTACAATTTTATCGCGTGTTACTGTCTTAATACGGAAAGAGTCTTATCGCGTCTTACTATAAACTTGTCCAGCTGATCTTTTACAGAGATACCCAGACGGATATACATACGTAACATCCTCGGCTATGTTCAGGATTCTCCCATCTAAATATCACGAAGATATCATTTTATCCTTGTTGTTCACCGAATGTTAAATAAAGATATAAAATAATCCCTAGGCAATAGGCACTTAGGTGAGAATCTGAGCTTCTACGCAGAAGATCGCGCTAAAATTAGCAAGAGAGAAATCTTTGTATTCCCAGCTTAATCACTGTAACAAGCAATCGCACGAACGGTAGGGGTCCTCGTAAATCCAATAAGGCGATGATACACGAAGGAAATCAACAGTGAATTACGAGCTGCGGGCTCTATCGTATACTTAACGTGATTATCCCAAGGATTTAAATCACGCATGACGGCGGACACACCCGGTAGATCGCGCGCTAATACCGATAACAGATGGACCATCAGATTGGTACCGTTATCATAAGATGGAGAGGCAAAATAGAGAGACAGAGCATATCATGATCGTTAGGCATTAAAGCGAAGATTCCTTCGCTCGAAGAGTTTTCGCCAAGTTTCGTCGGTGCATCGAACCACTCCTTCTCTTCAAGTCTTGTGTGTTTATGCGTAAAATATAAATAATTTTCCTCTACGTGTATTCAATGTAAACTACGTAAACTATATGTTTTATGTATCATTTATGTAAACAATCTATGGATCATCGAAGTCTTCTTTCTCGTTGCACTGCAATAAAGCTTCTATCTTGCTTATATTTTTATTTATTAATATTAAAGTCAGATATATTAACAATCATAAAACTCAATAACTTTTTTCTATACTGTGTTAGCCAATTTTTAATAATTTATACATTTTACATTGTTGCACGTTGTCTAACATGAAAAAGATTTGTATAAACAATACGTAAAGATAATCATTCAACGTAAAGATAATCTTGAAATATATGATATAATATGTTCATATCTATTATTAAATATAAACAATGTCGATTGATTATCAAATCTTTTCGATAATTATACTATATATTCGAGAAAAAATGATTTTATTAAAATATAAAAATTTAATTGGACACAGATCTGAAAATAATATATTGTTGGTATTGTTGGTAAAATATTGTGGGTCTATCAAAATAATTACGTAGAGATTTCAAGCATAATGAATAATGTTGTAGAAAATTTTGATAGTTTAACAATCTGTTTAAGTATCCTAAATCAATATTTTGATGATCCATCAAAATTATTTTTAGATTTATATCTAAATTTTTAGATAATTCAAAAGTAAAACCATACTTTCTGTGTTGCGTTTCTTTGTTCCTTTGTAATATTATACAAAAGGAAATGTTTATAGAATCATATCTAAATGAAAAGGGAATGTTGCGAAATGTTATGTATAATTCCTATTTTTTATAATTCTATTATATTTATTTAAATTATAATTTTTGTA